CCTCTTGGGATGCTGATACAGTCTGCTAAGCAGTAGATTTATTTGCATAATGGCCCAGGCGTCTTCTGGGAGTTAATGATTACAAGCCTTCCTCCTCCTGCTCCAAAAACACTTCTGGAGATTCGAATTATGAACACCTATAGGGGTGGAGGAGGGTGGCACTGGTCAAAGCCCAGTGGCCTAAACAAATAGGAAGAGTCTTGAAGTAAAGTTATCAGAAAGGTTAAGAGAAATGGAACTAATGGGTTAGCCTTGGCAATGAACAAGAAGAAGAGGTAAAGGTCCTCAATTCCAGAGTCTGAGAAAGCTTGGGCAGAGGGAGCTACAAATCTCTTTAATTTAGTCTGGCAAAGGAAGACTGCTTTGCCTACAAATACCATTTGTTTAACTTTGGTGGCTGTCCTAGGGGCTGAAGTTCTTGCTTCTGTATCTGTGACCTTGACCCCCAACCCCAACCCCAGACTCTGGACAGCAGAGTCCTCTCCATTTGGATCTGGATTCCAAGGCTGGACCAGTCTGAATAGGACTTCTCTCGAACTTCTGGTAAGTTCTTGGGAACCCCAAGACACATAGAATGGGTAGAGGCTGAGGAACTTTATTAGCCTCCTTGGGCTGCCATAAGAAAATACCATAGACTGGGGGACTTAAACAACAGAAATTTATTTCCTCACAGTTCTGGAGGCTGGAAGTCCAAGACCAAGCTGCTGTCAGGGTTGGTTTTTCAGGAGAGTTTTCTTCCTGGCTTGTAAACAGATGCCTTGGTGGCAGGAGGCAGCTCCCTGGTGTCTCTTCCTCCTCCTATAAGGACTACTAAATTAGATCCCACCCTTATGACCCCATTTAACCTTCACTACATCCTTAAAAGTCCTATCTCCAAACAGTCACATTGGGAGTTAGGCCTTCAACATATGAATGGGGGCGGGGGGCAGCGATAATTCAGTCCCTAACAGGAACCTTAGAAGGGTAGCTTGTAGCTAAAATTCTTGCTAATATTGGTAGCTTGGGCAAGGAGGTAGAGAATACCAGAATTGACTGTGAGATATTACATATAGAATTGGGAGTTGGAAGGAAGTTTAGAAATCTAATCCTTATTTTGTAGTTAAGGAAGGCCCAAAGAGCTGAGAAGACGTCTCTAAGTTAAATTTGGGATTTCATTCATTATATTTCCAGTAGATTGTTGATTATATATGTCAGGCCTTATGTCCTTTACATTTCTTTCCTGGCACTAATTATAATCTGTATTTCTCTGTTTTAGCTTCTTGCTGTAAGGTCCATGAAGACCAAAATCTTATCCATCTTGTGGATTTATCTATCCCTGACAAAGTGCCTAGCACACTGCCTAGCCCATTGTAAGTGCTCAATAAATATTTGGTGAGTGAATAAATGACTGAATAATAAAAGTTAACCTTTAATGAATATTCACTATAGGCCATGCACTAAGCTCTTTACACGCCTGATTTTATTATCTTATTTTCAATTGATCTTTCTAATTTTTCAGAGTAGGAACCTGAAGCTCAGGAGGTGTAGGGGAGGAAGACACTTCCTCTACCCTCTCTGGGTTCTTCTGGCTGGAGAACGGATTAAATTCACATGAGACAGAATAACAGGAGAAAATTAAACAAAGCTTTATAACATGTATACATCGGAGAGGTCAGGCAAGCTGAGCAACTCGCCAAAATGGCTGAAGCCACCACCTTAAATATCTTCCTCAGCTAAAGACAAAGGATGTTGGCGGTGGGGGGAGTCAGTTACAGGAGGTTATCAGACAAGTACAGTAAAAAAGATGCAGATTTAAGTCCTTGCCTTTGGCATTGATAAGAGTTTCTAGAGATAAGGTCATCCCCCCTTCTTCCTGGTACAGAGAGGGAGACACATTTACAGATGGAGATTTCCTTTACAATGTAAATGTCTCCTAACAAAGGGCAAGCAAATTACACCCCTCAGAGTTGCCTTCCTGTCTGCAGTTTATTAAAAGTAACCAGCCCCAAACAATCCTCATGCCAAAGAGACATATCTTAGAGTGGCCAATTCCAGGCTCCCACAAGGGCTAAAATCTTTTCCAAAGACAAGGCTAGGAAGCACAGAGCTGGAATTTGAACCTAGATCTGGCTGACCCCAAAGTTCATCCAAATGCTTAACCAAATGTTAAACTATCTGCTTCAAATTCAACACAAACATCAAAAAGAAGTGAAGGAGGGAGGTCTTCAGGGAGAAACACAGAAAAACTGTGTAGAAGTTACTTTTCAAACATGTCTTAAAGTGTTTCTGGGTGTTGCTTGGCAGAGAAGGGAGCCATTACTTTCAGAGAGAAAAAGAGTATGAATTATGTCATGGAGATTGGAAAAAGCAACGTGTATTCAGACAACTTAAGACATTCAGTGGGCTTACAAGAGAAGGAAACTTGTACAGCAGGAGGCTAGAGAGTTAACTTGCATGGAAAACATGAAGGGTCCTGTATGCCAGAGATTAGCAAACTATGACCTCAGGCCAAACTTGCCCTAAGTCCTCTCTTTATAGAGTCTGTGAGCTAAAACTGGTTTTTACATTTTTAAAGGATTTTTTTTAAATATATGACAAAGACTATACATGACTGGCAAAGCTTAAAATATTTACTATCTGGCCCTTTGCCAAAAAAGTTTGCCCGCCTTTGTAGTTTGCCTTGAGAAATTTAGACTTTATCTTGTAACAGGCAATTGCTGTAAGCACTAAGAGAGAGGATATAGTCAGATTCAGGTTGTAGAAGGGCAGATTTAGTGAGAGACTAGATTGGATTGGGGTCGGACTGGGAGAGACGAGAAAATGCAGGAAGCCAATTGAGAGGAGAAAATGGAGGCCACAGCCTAGGTGGTGCAAATACACGATAAATGAGTGATTAACTGTGGGAGAAAATGGGAGGGATAAGAAGTAACTGAACTTTTTTATTATTGTTCCTTTGGGTCCCTTCGATGATAGTGTGGAGTTGTTTGGGGTTTGTTGAGTTTGTAGATCTTTCAAATGCAGACGTCTACTAGGAAGTGACTGTTGCGGCCAATGCGGGAGGTTAGATTACCCAGGGAGTGTGAAGTGTTCTTCTGTTTGTTGTTTTGTCTGCTTTTTGTTTTTCTCAATTCTGACTAAATTGTTTTTAACAAATGAGGTTTCCAAAGACAATGAGGAAAGCTGTAGGTCAGGAAGGAACAGGTTCATTACAGCTTCATTATGGATTAAATAGAAAATGTTCTCTATTTCAAATCAGTTACTCATAAACTTTTGGAACGCTACCCATTGAAAAATCGGGGACTACCCAAATTATGTTTTGCTATAGTTGCAGATATCAGTGTTCACAATGACAATGTTTATTAGTGATGACTGAAAAATAATACACTATTTAAAACGGGAATTTAAAATATATATCACCCCCTTGAACCCATCAGGAGAATCATAGCACCTTTTAAAAATCTATGTACACATTTTACACATTAAACCATTTGTCATTGAGCCAAGGAAATGACAGCTTTTTCACTACTGGGAAAGAAAAAATTCACACTAGAAAAATACATTATACAAACAACTTCCTTAAGGTAATGGCAGGGGCAAATCACTGCAAGAAGGAAGAGAAGAGCATTAAAAAGTTTCTTCTGAGCCCTCAAGACCTTTGGAGAAATGATTGCCTTTTAATTTATTTTTGGATACAGTTTGGATACACAGGTCTATTCTTTGGCATTTTAAGGGCGGTGTTTTGTTTCCATTTTCCCCCTAATTTCTCCATAACAATTTGATTCTAAATACCATTGCCTCCACCGGAAAGAGGCTTCTTTCTGTAGTTGGCAGATATTGCCAGAAGTATGTGAACGTGTCACTTGGATGTCATTGGCCTAGTCAACCCTCTAGTTTGCTCTTCCAATTTGTAATTTTCCTTTCTCTTTTCTCTCCTTTCAGTGGCCCATCATTTGCTATTTCTTAGCACCTCATTACCAGTGGGTGGGCAGCGGGGAGGAAGGAGTATATGAACTCAAATCTGTTAATTTCTGGGAAAATATTCCAGTGACGACATCTGAAGTTTATGTCCCTTAAAGTTGTTTTGTTTCTGAAAAGTGGACTCTTGCACAGAATAACTGTCCTTGAACACTAACATCTCTAGCCTGTGTCAGAATTGCATTTGGGGGGCCACAGGCTGAGGAACTTTAAGACAATTAACCCTTGCATTTAAAGCACCAGGATTTGAAAAGTCACGTGCACCTATGCAAGTCAATATTTAAGTAATGCAACCTATACCAGAATTCCTTGTTTTTCCATTAAAACGAATACCGACAGGGCTGTTTTAATTTTACAACGAATGCGGTGCAATGCAAGTTCAAAACAAGTTTGGGGACTGGTTTATGTGAATCTGAATTAACTGCTTGGTGAGCAACACGGTTTTCCATTCTACAGAATCCCGTGAGGCTTCCGGGTGAAGAATTTGACCTCGTACCTCTGTCAGATTTAAATAATAAAAATGATGCTAAAAAATTATGTCCTTTTGAATAACTCATGTCAGGTCAGTTCCTAACCCTTCCTCTACCTCCCTCCGGTTCCTGGCAGGAAACGTGTGCGGAGGCAGCGGATAAAAAGGTTCCAGTTCCCAGCAGCAGCGCGTTAGAAAAATTTTCCATACGTTGGTGCACTCATGCTGCCTTAGAAAAGTGTGGTTTGAAACAGAGTTTCTCTTCTCTCTTTTTAAAAGCCTTTTTTCTCAAGAGCTCGAATTCTGTACAGTGTTCAAAATGCCAAGCTGGTTTTCGCTTTATACCACCATGTGACGCCCCCTCCCCTCCAGCCCTGAGATGCTTTAAAACAAACACAGTAACAAAATTTAGGTTAAGGAAATTCTAGCTGGGGGTAGGGTGCGAAGCCAGCGTTGCGGAGGGCAACAGACTACAACTCCCACAAGCCCTCGTGGGACCGCTATCCGACCTCCCCACCACCCACCTTGCGCTTGCGCGGAAGACCCTGCGCGGAGAGGAGGGGGCGGGGACAGGACAACGCACATAGAGGAGGAGGAGGAAAAAGGAGACCATAGACTTCCACCTGGGCCTAGAGTGGCTCTTAGAGGAGTGGGGAGAGGAGGGCGGGCGGGGACCACCTTCAGAGCAGGCCGCCGGCGGTATCATGGCGACCCGGAACCCCCCTCCCCAAGGTGAGCGGCCGGGGCCCGAAGTAGTATCTGAGACGCGGCTCCCAGCTTTCGACCTTGCACCCAGGGCGCCTTTTCCTTCCCCTGCCCCAGGGTTCCTGGGGCTGTCTTTTTGAGGCAGCCCCCTGGAGCGCCCCCTCGAACGAGGCCCTCCCTCACCTCTCGGCCGAACGCACTCGAAGAGCGACCTCCGCCCCCATCACAGCCCCACCTCCTGCCTTAGCTTCAACTCCGGCCCTGGTGGTTCACTTCCATCTTCAGACTTTTTTTTTTTTTTTTCAGTTTTGACTTTGAAGTAATTTTTTCTTGCCGGGCCCCTAAGCGATTCTTTCCGAGGACGACCTCCTCTTTCTCCCACTGATGAAAATGGACCCCGCTCTGGCCCTGACCCTGTTGAGATTTGGGGGTGACCCTTCATGCTGTGTAACTCTGACCTGACCTTATTGAGATTTTGGGGAGGGGGTGACGACCCATCACTGCTGTGTAGCTGTGACCTGACCTTACTGAGTTTTAGCGGGGTGACGCCTCACTGCTGTGTACCTCTGACCTAGTCCTGGCTCAGACCCCCAGGCCGGGCCCTGGGTCTTTGGAAGGGAGATGCTAGGCCCTTTATTCTTGAGGCCCTCGTCTCAAGGATTGGGTTTAACAAATTCTTAACGTTTCCATCTGGGCATTTTTAGCTGTAGGCCAAAAGTAACAGTGAGTTCTAACAGATAAAAAATGTGTAGGCCATTTCTGACTTTTGGTTGACTCTAAATTTATTTGTTCCATTTTGTATTTTGAAGAATATGAAAGTGATGACGACTCTTACGAAGTGTTGGATTTAACTGAGTATGCAAGAAGACACCATTGGTGGAATCGAGTGTTTGGCCACAGTTCCGGACCTATGGTAGAAAAATACTCAGTAGCCACTCAGATTGTAATGGGTGGAGTGACTGGCTGGTGAGAACGACATCTTTTTCATTAAATTTCATTGGGAGACCGCTGCCCTTTTGTACACGGGCCAGTTCCTGTGCACACTCAGTGGCTTTACACTGTTAGTCCCAGAAGAGCCCTACCTTGAGGCTTTCTCTGTGATACGATTGGTGTAATCTACACTCAGGGACTCGGTGTTGGGTTTTGGTGATCTCTCTACCCCATGCCTACACTGTTCTGCTATTTCCTCCTCACACTTCCTTTGATTCTTTATATATTTTCTCCCTTCTCAAATTTAGCAAATGGAGTGGATCTGATTCAGTTTAATAGTGGGTTAAGAAGAAGAAACATGTAAGAGTTAATTGTATGTAAATAATTCTGCTTCTTCAGTGCTAACAACTGGAAAAACCTGTGGGAACTCCCACAGTAGAACTGGTCTCCAGGATTGTCAGCCCTGTAGAGAGCCATGTAAAATTCTCATTATGATCCAGATCATTCTGTTGATTTTTGTGGGTAGTTTGGATTATAATACTTTGAAGAAGAGTTGTAGAACGTTGGGTCTTTGTTGTAATAAAGGACTGATTGCTTACTCTGTGATAATATTGTGGAGTACGTTGAGGAGCGCTTAATAAGCATTAACCTTACCAGTTAACATTTCAGACTACATGATTACATAATTGCTACTGTAGATCTAATTCGGTTATTCTTGGAATAAAAGATTAGCCAAATAACAAGGGTCAGAAACAAGTTTGACCCTTTACTTGGAAAATGTTCATGACTATAGAGAATTTTTCAAGTTAGTGTGGGTGCTTAACTTGTGAATAATCATTTCTTTCCTTAGATTCTAAATTAAACTCATCTTACATTAATTTAAATATTTACATATTTAAACTTGGTAAGTATTAACTTTTTTGATTTGTGTTTCACGTGCACCTTGGAACAATAGCGCACTCCCCTATGCCTTTTTGTAAATACCATGTATGGTAGGAACACTCATTGTGAAGATTCTGTGATGCAGAGGTATAGTATTTATTCCTGATGTGTGCTTATTAATGCTGCTTATGAAAAAAGACTGCAATTAGAAGAGAGATGCCTGGTCAGGGCCCTGGTTATTCAGACGATTGTCCGCAGGTTGGTTGTACCTTGATCACCATAATTCAAGGTCTGACCCTCTGCTTAAATAAACTCACAGTTTGGTGCCATGGGTGATTGGTTAATGAGAGTCTGGGCCTGAAGTCCCATCTTAAAAGAGATTAAAAAATAATTAAGTAGTAGAATTATCAAATCATTGTGTGTTTTCTCCTTGTAGGCCAAACTCGGTGAGACACCCCATAATTGGCAGAAGTTTGCTTGGAAAGCCTGGAGACAGGGTAGAGGGAGTTCTTAGGTTTATTTTAATGGCTCATGCCATTAAGCAAAGGATGGACATGCTTGTGGAGCAGCTCCCTGGGACATTGTTGAGACTTGCCTGCTGCTAGGCTCCTCTGCTCCCTTTTCTGATCCTTGGTGCTGACTCCCCTACCGAGGGACATGGTCTTTATAGTAATACATATGTTTGGATTATAGCCAGGTGTTGGCCCAGGAGCTGTGTAACAGGACTCTAATATGACACAGGTCATTTGTTGCAATGAGTTTAGATTCAGTGTAGTAAATTTTTGCAATTTTCCGAGTGTGTAAGACTGACATAGTATTGTGGCATACGTTAAGGAGGAATGGTTAATAGGTATTGACCTAACGAGGTAACGATTCAGACCAATTCAGGACCTGAATGGGAGGCTAAGGAGATTATATTTAGCTATAGATAACTATAGGTTTTTGATCATAATAAATTGATATTAGGATGAGTGGTTGCTAGGAGAGATGGGAAGTGTGAAGACTAGTTAGAGGGCCCTTAGTGTGATCTGGAGACAAGGTAATGATGCCCTTGAGAATGGAAAGAAGACAGAGTCAAAAAATGTTTTGGAGATAGAGTATATAGAATTGGCAGTCATTTGGACCCCGAAGTTGAAGAAGAAGGTGGAGTCTGAGATGAACATGAGGTGGCAAGCCTGGAGAATGGTGCTGTCCCTTACAAATTGGGATCTTAGCAACATTTGGTTTGGTTGGAAAGATGTTAGCTTTGGGATATTTTGAATATGTGGTTCTGAGTGCCAGAGAAGCCCATCATGTCATTGGAAATGTAAATTTTCCATTTATGAGGGTGTATTCGTTTCCTCGGGCTGTTGTAACAAAGTACCACAACTAGGTGGCTTAAAACAAGAAAAATTGATTCTCTCACAGGTCTGGAGGCTAGAAGTCTGAAAGGTGTTAGCAGGCTTGGTTCCTTCTTGGAGACTCAGAGGGAGAATCTGTTCCGTGCTCCTCTCCTAGCTTCTGGTGTTGCCAGCAATCCCTGGCATTCCTTGGCTTGTAGACATATCACGCCAGTCTCTGCTTCTGTCGTCACATGGCCCTCTTCCCTCTGTGTGTCTCTATGACATATTGGGTTAAGTCATGTTGGGTTTAGGTCCCACCCTACTCCAGTATGGCTTCCTACTAACTAATTACATTTGCAGGGACCCTTATTCCAGATAAGGTCACATTCTGAGGTTCTGGGAAGGACGTGGATTTTGAGGGGACACTATTCAACCCAGTATAGGAGGCAAGAGCTTGCACACTGTGTATTTAGAATACTGAAGGGAATATGAGCTCACTGAAGGAGAGGATCACAAAGGAAGTATGGATTGACATTCTTGCAGGATAGATGAGACAAAACAGGTTTAACATAGAGATAGATAGATTTAGATATAGGTAAGGAAGCTGTGAGAAACGTGAGCTGCAGAGTTATGAAGGTGGAACTCCAGCTGGACCTTAAAGGGTAAAAAAGCTTTAGATAGGCAGAGCTAGGTAGAAAACCCTAGAAACAGGGAGATTAATAGCTTGAGCTATGCTGATGACCTGTTTGAAGACTAATTGGATTGGAGCTGAAGGTTTGGGTACAGTGGGGCTCAGCAAGGTGTGGGGAACATCTTGAATGTATTAAAAAACAAAACAAAACAAGTCACTTTTATTATGGGGAATTTTAACTTATACAAATGTAGAAGAGTATAGTGAACCCCTGAGTACTCAACATTCAGTTTCAGGAGCCAATCTTTTTTTCCTATAAATTCCCCTCTTCTCTTCATCCCCTATTTTGAAGCACATCTCAGACAGTTTAGATTGTGCAGTTTTGACTAACCTGTGTAACTGAAGGGAAATGTGGAGGGTTTCTGGGCAGGTAAGGGACATGCTCAAAAGAAACTGGAAGACGTTAAGATTTTATTAGGAAAACAGTGGAAAGTAGAAGAGGGGGAGAGTTTAGGGCATCATTGATTGTTCTTGTCTTTTGTCATTTCATCTCCTATCATTTCTTTCATTAAAGGTGTGCGGGATTTTTGTTCCAGAAAGTTGGAAAACTTGCAGCAACTGCAGTAGGTGGTGGCTTTCTTCTCCTTCAGGTATGTGAGAGCTGTAGGTCCTTGCCTCTGCTTGCACATGTAGCCCTTGGGAACTGAGAAAGTCAGGTTTAGCTATTTCACTCCTGTCCATTTTAGTAGAAGATGGAATTTTTCTTTTAGGCTTCAGTTTGTGGAAAAACTAAAATGAGTTTTTGAAAGCTGGCATCTGTCATGAAAGACAACAATTTAAATACTTTTTAAGTTCTTTAAGCATAGTTTGACCCCAGCTATTAAAAAGACAACTATTAGGGGCTGGCCCCGTGGCCGAGTGGTTAAGTTCGCGCGCTCCGCTGCAGGCGGCCCAGTGTTTCGTTAGTTCGAATCCTGGGCGCGGACATGGCACTGCTCATCAGACCACGCTGAAGCAGCGTCCCACATGCCACAACTAGAAGAACCCACAACGAAGAATACACAACTATGTACCAGGGGGCTTTGGGGAGAAAAAGGAAAAAATAAAATCTTTAAAAAAAAAAAAAAAGACAACTATTAAAATTTGAGGTGCCTCATTCTTTTATTACTTACATAAGTTTCCCTTGAAGCACCTCTCTAGCAAAATAAACATTTCATCAATAATATAACCTACTCATCCTGACCATTTTAAACATATATTTAAAATTCACACAGAATATATAAAATTCAGAAGTTCTCTTTCCTTCCCATTTCCCAGCCATGCAGTTTTCCTTCCCGGGGGAAATTGCTGTTAGCAGTTTCTAACATGTTTTTTAAAACTAGGGAACCGTAATAATACAGAAAGTGGAAAATTGGGTTTAAAATATCATCCATAATCCTATTTTTGAGGCAGGTAGATTTGAAATTTCAGTTTTGTTCATCTTCCTCTAAGTATAAGGCTTAAAGATGCTTTGCTGTTAGAGGCTGTTGATCAGGATATTATCTGGCATTCATGTCTGTTTGGCATATATTTGTCCAAAAATATTCCCTGAAGATCAAATATAGTAAATCCCCAAATAGAAAATCTCTGGGAATGAATGTTAGCAACAATTTTAAAGATACCAGGAACTGTCAGTCGTACCAGATTTAAAAAGTGATTGATGATCATAGCAACCAAAATCTGACTTCAGCACCTGAGCCATTGATCATGTCATAACCAGCGTCGTTGCCTGAAGTACAAAGGGACTGGATTCGTATGTGTTAAGCACAGATTTTGAGTTGTTTACTAAATAGCTTTTTAAAATATATATATTTTCTTTCTATTGGTGACATTAATAGGAGTAATTGCTTATTTCTTGTGGTAAGAGGTAAACAAGAATATGGTTAATATCTCAACTTAGTCCTTTGGATGATTATGCCAGCATTTGTACAGAAGGGAATTTTATTAAACTGATTTTGACTTGGGTTTATGTAGAATCAAGAACATACTTAATTCTGTAGCTATTTTGAAAACTCAGTTATCATTTCTGTTTAGTGGAAAAGGGTACTGGACTGAAGCAGAGTTTCTTAAAATGTTCACAGAATAGAGAGAATTATACATTTCAGTCCACTCTGCATGTCAGTTTTTCAGAAGTCCTTTTCAGTCTACTCAGTATGCACCATTCAAATCCACATTTGGCCATTGCCACTTTCTATTTCTCTATGCCTAGTCCACATATTCTTTGAAGTTACTAAGCAGAAGAACATGGGACCTCTCTGCTTCAAACCAGTTTTTCCCACAAGTGTGACTTAACTTGAAAACTCAGTAGAAGGGAACTGAAAGAGGAAGTTAAGAGTAACAAATGGTTTTTAGGATAATTGCTATTAGGCCCACTTCCATATTTTTGTTACCTTTGCTTATATTTAAATATAAATATTAGTTTACTTAGAACTTAACTTTTCTAAAAGCTCAATATTCCAGTAGCTATTTATCATACTGCTATCTTAAAATACAGTGGTATATAAGTCTTTTAAATTTAGTTTTTTGTTTTCCGAGTTGTACATGGCCATAATTCAAAGGGTCAGTTACATGTACAAGGCTTGTTACAGATTAATCTTCTGCCTCCATCACTAACCCCACATTTTTCCCTCCTTGAGGCAGGCAGTTTGAACTCTTAGCTGATTCTTAAGGTATTTATCTCCTTTTTTCCTAAACAAGTTAATTAGACATTTCTTGAGCTGTCAGTTTGAGGTATTAACTGTTGGCCTCCCATTATGGAATATGAGAATTTAGCTATCATTTATTGAACTTCTCTGTGCCCCCTCTCCCATCTCACACACTTGCATGAGTCCCCTGACCCCCCACATCAGGTGAGTGTTGTTATGTCATAATTGTGTTAGATCATTACCTGGAGTTCACTGAGCTTGAATCTGTAAATTTATGTCTTTAGTCATATTTGGGAATCTTTTGGTCATTATTTCTTTAAATATTTGTTCCTATTTTTTCTCTCTTCTCCTGAACATGACTCTGATTACATGCATGTTATGCTTTTTGATAATATCCTGAGGTTTTGTTCATTTATTTTTTCAGTCGTTTTTTTCAGGTTGTATAATTTCTAGTGATCCAACTTCAAGTTCACTGACTCTTTCCTCTGTCATCTACCTTTTGCCGTTAAGCCTATCTAATAAATTTATTTCAGATATTGTATTTTCCAATTCTAGAGTTTCCATTTGGTTCTTTTTATATTTCCTATATCTTTGGTAAGATTTCTTATCTTTTCATCGATTACAAGCAGTTTCCTTTACCTCATTGAGCATAGTTATAATAGCTGCTTTAAAGTCCTGATAATTCCAATGTTTGGGTCATCTCATGGTTGGCATCTGTTGATTTTCTTTTGGGACTAGGCCACATTTTCCTATTTTATAATATATCAAGTAAGTGGATTTTATCCTGGGCATTGGGAATGTTATGTTGTGGAGACTCTGGATTCTCTTTTATTCTTCTGAAATGTGTTGATGTTTTGATCTTAACAGGCAGATAACTTGGTTAGACTCAAATTGCAGACTCTCACTTGTCATGGCTAGCAGCTCAAATCTCAGTTCATTTCTTTTAGCCTTCGCCGGAATGCTTGGTTCTGCCCTGTGAATGTGTGGTTCAGGACTTGGGTAGAGTTTATGCATAGAATATGGGGCTCCCCTTCTTTAACTCTCTCCTTTCTGGCATTTGTTGTTGTCCTGGGCTGTCCTCTGGTTCTTCAGGCAGGAAAGATGGCATGTTTTCTATTAGTTTTAGCCACCCTGCAACTGCATCCTGCCCTCAGGATAAAGGCAGAAAAATGGGCGACTCACCTTATATTGATCCCTTCCTAAAAGTTTCAACTCCCCTTCAAAATCTGCTTGCTTTTGTTAATTCTGGAGCCTACCTCTCCACCTCCCCCCCTTTTTTTTGGTGAGGAAGATTGGCCCTGAGCTAACATCTGTTGCCAATCTTCTTTTTGCTTGAGGAAGATTGTTGCTGAGCTAACATCTTGCGAATCTTCATCTGCTTTGTATGTGGGATACCACCACAGCATGGCTTGATGAGCGGTGTGTAGGTCCACGCCTGGGATCCAAACCTGTGAACCCCGGGCTGCTGAAGCAGAGCATGTGAACTTAACCACTACGCCACTGGGCCAGCCCTGTGGAGCCCTTGTATTTTAACCAGGGATTATAGGTGCTATCTATAGGAGGGTCCCCTAAGGTTCATCAGTAATTACCTCCATGCCTGCAACCCATATTGCCATGTCAGGTACTGCCAGGAAAAGCTTTCACTTGCCATTTGATTTGATCACTGCTCAGCTTTGTTGAGGCTGGAGTTTGAAATGATAGTAGGTGAATGAATACAGGAAGAAATGCAGATAAATAAATTCTTCTATGGAGTCATTCACAGTGAAAATGTAACTGAAGATTCCCACCAATTTGTATAAAATCAGATATTTTTATTATTTGAAGTATTTTATGTCTGGATTTATAATCAAAGTGATGCATTAAAAGATTACAAAGAAAGCATAACCTTGATAGAAGTGATTTAAAATGATATGCAAGGCCTGTTAAGTACTCATGTGATTCTTTGTGTTTTGATTTTATTATTTGGAGGGACTAATTTACTGTACTAGTGTACACATACATTATTCCTGTTCAGATTTTGCCACATCTCAGTAGCACCATATGAGAATTTTTCTTATGGTTAATAGGTGTTTAGCTATAGTTTTATTAAAAGGATTTATGGCATGAAAGTTGTATAGGCATATTTCTTTTATATTCCACTTTCAAAAGCAATTACCAGAAAGTATTCTTAATTTAAGTAAAGAGTCAGTGAAGAGTCTTAATCTGCTACTTTAGATTTCTTTAGTGACCGAATAACTGATTGGCTTCTGATCCCTTGTAATTAAATAGCTATTTAATTAAAAGGTACTTTTTTTATTAGCTATATAATTGTGATTGTCTCTGTGTCTTTTTAGTTAATTCTCAAATTCCAAAAGTTATGATAGAGTTATAGTCCAGTTGTAATACAACTTTTGGAGTCTTTTCCCATCACATGCTATGCTTTGCTTAACATAGCCTTCATCACATCTAAGTAATCACTTATGCTTAGTGTCTGTTTTCCCTGACAGACTTGAAGCTCTCTGAGGGTGGGGACTTAACATCCCCCTTGTTCTTGGCTATAGTTTGGGAGCCTAGAACAGTGCTTGGCACACAGTAGGCACTCAGTATCTGTTCAATGAGTAAATTGTGATTTCTTACCTATAAGCTTCATGAATTTCTTGAAATCTAAGTGTTCATATATTCCTGGGTAATAGATTCATTAGCAACCCAGTTGCTTTAGAATTAACCGTTTTTATTACATTTTTGCAGATTGCCAGTCACAGTGGCTATGTGCAGATCGACTGGAAGAGAGTTGAAAAAGATGTAAACAAAGCAAAAAGACAGATTAAGAAACGAGCAAATAAGGCAGCACCTGAAATCAACAATATAATTGAGGAAGTAAGACAATATACATTTTTGGCTCCCTTTTTTTTTTTTAAATGGGTCTCGCTTAGCAAAAGATGTGACTAGGGACTATCTTCTTTTTAAAAAATTGGTGTTTTTGGTCATGTCTAGAGTGTTAAGTGAAATTTGGGACCAAACCCCCATTTAAATCAACCGTTATTTTTTTTTTAGTAGTTAACATAGTTTCCCCTGCCCATCTCCCACCTACTTTGATCTGCATATAAAAGCTGATAACATCAGTCATGCGCCTGATGATTAACAACATTTTGGTCAACAATGGACTGCATTATAGACAGTGGTCCTATCAGATTAGTACCATAGAGCTAGGTGTGTAGTAGGCTGTACCATCTAGGTCTGTGTAAGTACATGCTATGATGTTCGCACAATGCCTTTCTTAGAACATATCCCCATCGTTAAGCAACGCATAACTGTATTCTTCCAGAATTTTTCCTCTGCTTTTACAAATTGTACGTATGTAGAAAAGGTGTGGCAAAACTAAAACTACCTATTTTTTTCTTTAAGTGGAATAGTATGAAAATGTATATTTTATTTTGTTAATATATTAGTTTCATTAATGTTTTTTGTATCTTTAATCTATTTTCTTCTTGTATTCTGTTTTGAATTGAATTGAATTGAATACTCTCTTGCCTTTGTTCTATCCTTTTACTTCCCCCAACTTTTTGTTTTGAAAAATTTCAGATCAGTTGAGAAGTTGAAAGATAAATACAGGGAATACTCAAATACCCTTCACCTATTCACCGCATCATTCTCATTTTGCATCATTTGCTTTATCTCTGTATGTGTGAGTGAGTGTCAGGTTTACTTTTTTTTTTTGCCAAACTGTTTAAGACATCATGTCTTTTCACTTTTAAATACTTCAATACATATCTCCCAAGAGTACAAGTATTCTCCTGTACAACTACAATTACTCTATTAATCCCCCCAAATTTAACGTGATATTAAAATTTTTCCAGAGAACATCTTTTGTAGCTTTTTTTCTTTTCCAAATCAAGAATTATATATTGCACGTGGTTGTCATGTCTCTGAAGTCTCCTTTAATTTTAAAAGTTTCCTCATCTGGGTTTTTTTCCCCCCTGTCTCTCATGACACTGACTTTCTTTTTTTTTTTTTGCTGAGGAAGATTTGCCCTGAGCCAACATCTGTTGCCAATCCTCCTCTTTTTGCTTGAGGAAGATTCGGCCTGAGCTCGCATCTGTGCGTCTTCCTCTATTTTGTATGTGGGTTGCTGCCACACTATGTCTGATGAGTGGTGTAGATCTGCGCCCGGGATCCAAACCCACAAACCCGGGCTGCCAAAGTGGAGCATGCCAAACTTAACTACTATGCCACAGGGCCGGCCCCAACACTAACATTTTTGAAGCATCTAGGCAGAATATCTCACAGCCTGGCTTTACATGGTCCTTCATGATTTTATTTGGGTTAAACATTTTATCAAGGTGATTTTTTTTCATCTTGTATGTTTTTTCTTACATAAGTGGACTATTAATAAATATCATTGTGCATGCTGTGGGAATTTATTAAATAATCTGTGTTAATAACTTGCTGAATGGACCATTTATGCCTGCCCTATAGGTAGATTTCTTTTTGCCTGTGAGATTATTGCTGCTAATATACCTGTTATCTCAGTAGCAAAAAGCTCGCTGGGCCTGGCTGGGAGCTCTAGGCTCCTTTGGTTTGTAAGGGACAGCCCTGGCATCTTGCGTGGTGGTTGGCACCTGCAATAGTAGGTGCACAAAAATTTTTGTTGAATATTTGTTGAAGTGAGGAAAACAGCTGAAAACATTACTTAGCTCCAGGTTCAGTAATAGTGTTTTTTAAAATTTGCATCTGTTTTTCTTTTCTTCTTCTTTTTTCTTTTTTTTTTTTTTGAGGAAGATTAGCCCTGAGCTAACTACTGCCAGTCCTCCTCTTTTTTGCTGAGGAAGCCTGGCCCTGAGCTAACATCGTGCCCATCTTCCTCTGCTTTATACGTGCGACACCTACCACTGCATGGCATGCCAAGCAGTGCCATGTCCACACCTGGGATCCGAACTGGCGAACCCCGGGCTGCCGAGAAGCAGAACGTGCAAACTTAACCGCTGCGCCACTGGGCTGGCCCCAACATCTATTTTTCTCAGTGTGGTAAAAGATATATAACATAAAAGTCACTATTTGAACTATTTTTAAGTGCACAATTAGTGACATTAAGTACATTCATGTTTTTATGCAACCATTACCACTATATATTTCCAGAACTTTTTCGTCATCCCAGATAGAAATTCTAACTATTAAGCAGTAACTTCCACAATGAACCCCTCCCCCCAGCCCTTGGTAACCTCTCTTCTACTTTCTCAATGAATTTGACTGTTCATTTAAGCGGAATCATACAGTATTTGTCTTTTTTGGTCTGTCGTATTTCGCTCAGTGTAATGTTTTCAAGGTTCATTCATGTTGTAGCGTAGTTAAGAGTATTTTTGTTTAAATTTTCCTTACGTTTCAGGCAACAGAATTTGTCAAACAGAACATTGTGATATCCAGTGGATTTGTGGGAGGCTTTTTGCTGGGCCTTGCATCTTAAGGATGTGAATGTTCTATCACCGTGGAGTCTCCTATGAGAAGAGAAGTGGTGGCGACAAGGTGGTTTCTCAGCATTACGCGCTGCCAGATTCTCCGGGGCAACGAGAAACAACTAGCTGGACGACACCAAACTCACAGCTTAGCATTTTGCCATCTGAAGCTTGGCAAACTAGTATGTGCTGTAAAACAACCTATATGGTATGTGTACAATAGTGTTCCAGAGCAAAACATGGCTTTCAGTATTTTTTTAACATTTTCATTTGTTTAGAAATTAGCCTATAGAATATCACCATTGGATGTAGATATGGGGAAAAAAATCTGTTGGATCTATTCCCCAGTGAAATACTATCCCTTTTAATTTAAATAAGATATTCTTCATTGTGCTTTATAGTATAGTGCCAATAATTAAAAATTTGTATTATAGCTTCAACATTAGGGCTGACTTTTTTTAAAGATAAGTTTGCAATAAATTGAAGAATTGTAATGCCCTTTTGTGGAAGAATTTAGAAATCATAGAATTATTAAAGATATTGAACAGATTTAATGCCAATTTTTAGGTTGTTTTTTCCTGCAATTCTTACTTTGCTTACATAATAACTGTTGTAAACAGTTTCAAGGAAGGCTCTTCTGAGGAAATACTGTCTAATGCTCTTTTTCTTCTTTTTGATGTCTGTAGTTGTAAAAATATCTTCTTGTATATAAGCTTCTAATTTTTTTTATTAATTTATTTATCCTGGCAGCCTGGACAGAACTAATGATTTTGAGAGTACATACAATTGGGTCACTAACTTGTTTTATTAACCTTGAGTGACCCTCCTTTCTCGTTTCTAAAAATCCTAATTGTTGTTTTGGCCCCTTCTTCACAAAGTGGTAAAAATCACTTTAAAATACTTAGTAGTATGGTATGAATTTACTGTTTGAAGAACAGTGATTTTCCATATAATCATGAAATTGTACCTTAAAGAGAATTGTCTCCTTGATGTAGTCTGAGGCGTAAGTGCTAAGGCTCTCAGGTTTTGGTGGCATTATGCTGGTTGAACACTAGACCGGTTGACTTGTGTCTCAGGGCCTACATCACACTGCCTCAGAAGCCCTTTGCGTGGAAAAACTTCTGTATTGTTTGTTTTGTCCATAGAGTTCTAGGTCGGAATTGGGAAAAACAGCAGAACAACATGTGTTGGAATCTTCAGATTGGAAAGACCTTGCAGATATCCAGACTGTCTCCTTTTGGGAGGAAGTCCCCATAGCATTTTTTATGTATTGTAAACATAAGGCATTTCATACTTTCAAGATTGGTTACAATCTGTGTGCTTTCATTACACAAGACTCCTTAAAATTGAATGTGCGATTGATTTTCGTTTTCTTCCTTTACTCTCATTAGTGCCTCAGATACAATGCTAAATAAAACTCAGACTTTCTTAATATGAAGTGATTTTGCTTATAAATACTTGTTTTTTCTTCTTTGAGCTTTTCTCTGTTTCTGCCTTCTCAAGTTTTTCATTGCTGTGGAATTTAAAGGGAAAAATACTCTATATCGGGTGGAACCTTGGCCACACTTCTGTGCGCCGTATCTGCGGGATGCTTTCGTCTGATACAGTGAGGCAGGCTACTGTGGGGAGCTCTAGTAGCTGGCTCAGTTTGTTCATTTTGGAAATATTTATAGTGTTTGTTCTGTACATGATAGACTAGGAAAGGGGGGGCACAAAAATGTCTGCCTTCAAATAGAGACTAAAAATTCTTGTATGACAAGTTATGTAATGCTATCGGGGAACCTGGTGTATGATTTAGTGGCATATGAGTAGTAGCGATAACTACTTTCAGAGTCCAAACATGAATGAAAATTGAAAAAGATAGCTCTTCATTTTTACCTATACATTTCCAAATATCTACTGATTTGTTTGAAAATATTTGTCTACAAATGCAAAGTATTATCAGTGCTCTCCATTCTGTCTCCTCTCTGTTAGTGCTCCTTGTTCTGCGTCATATCTGCACCACTTCCCCACTAGGTTGTATGCTCCTTGAGGCAATCGTATGTGTTAATCAATCTCTAACTTGTGACGCACGCTGTGTAATGCTTTGCTCATGGTAGCTATTTGGTAATGTTGTGAATGAATGAACGAGTGTGTGAAAAGCATATTACTGTGCTAGAGTTGGTGTCAACCTATAAGAAACCTTTCTCTGTGTAGCAGTCCGGTGAATTAGAGGCTCCATCAGAAATGGCTTGGTGGGGTTTGGTTGGAATGAAAAGCTTATAACCTACCTTTGAATAAAATGGGGATTTTTATGTTTGAGGATATAAAGGCTGTTTGCAGGATTTATTAAAACTTGAGTATATGGAATACAGGTATTTTGTGGCCTAGGCTTTGGAAGATATGTAAGGACATTTTGACTGATTTTTGTTTTTTATTCTTATAGCCCTCTCAAACCTCCCTCACAAAAAAAGATGATTTTTAATGTTTCCTTATTTCAAATGCAATATGAATTAAATATGTTCATTACAGAAAAATACATCAGCATAAAGAATATATAGAATGTTTATAATATGATGTACTAGAGATATTTTTTGTCCATAGCCTTTGGAGTCTTTCCTACTTGTGTATGGACATTTATGTGTATTTTGTGTAAAAATTGAATCACTACTATTTTATAAATAGCTATTTTCAGTTACGTATTATGAATGTCTTTTATAATAGTAGATACATTTATGATGACAGAAAGATATAAGTACCCACCCTGTCTCCCTTTATGAGACAACCATTATTAAAAGTTCTTTTTATATATTTTAATATATTTATACTTATTTTTATTGTCCATGTTTGGATAGTATATATTGAATGTCCACTCTGAAAGGTAAGGAATTTTGTGCATATCCCGTTTCTCCTTTCTTTTTTTTTGATTGCTAATATATTTTTAGTTTTTTGAGTAGATGGCTTTATTACTTTAAATATTAATACCTTTTCTGTCTTTATTTACCAACTTTAGATAATATCTTCTAACTCTTTGTAATTAAAGATGAAGAAAATAAGAATACCTCTTCCCTACCACCCTCTGGCCTCCTGATTTTTGTTAAATTGTTATTACTTTTAATGGTACATTCAAATGATGGAGTTCTATTATTAAGAAGAAGGTAGAGGTATGTAAATTGATCTAGAAAGATCCATGTGTTAATGATAAAATCAGGTCAGAAACAGGGTGATCCCACTTTTTTGAAAAGCTGTGCGCATGAGCATAAATATGCACACAGATGTTCATAGAGGCTGTCTGAAAGGTTGGGATATAGGATTTTCATGTTGTATTTTCAACATTTTGATGTCATCTGAAGTCTTTACAGTGAGTACATGTTAATTTATAGTTAGCAAAAGTTATTTTTTTAGAATCAGGAATGGGAACTTAAAATTAATAGGTTATTGCTATTTTCGGGGGCTTTTTCTTTTTACCTTTCCTCTTCCTTCACTGAATTTATTTTTTAAGTTGTTTTCGTCAAAATAGTGCACATAGTTCAAGTCGTCAAATAGTCTTTGACTACAGATAAGGCCTCTAAAAAGTGCAGCGCTTTTCTGCTCTACTTCTCTCCCACTTAGTGGCTTTTTCCACAGAGGAGTTTCAACTGTATTAGTTGTTTCTCTTTGTATGTACTATAACCATATTTCTTAGACTTTCTATTATGATAAATGACTTGGGCTTCCTATTATGGTAGATGTGGATTTAGCTCTATAACACCTTCCTTTTCGCATCTTAGTAGTAACAATTTATTAAATTTGTATAAGGTTTTATACATTGTTATGACAAATATGGTTTACTGTTGAGTAAGGACACAACTTCCTATAGGTTCAGCTGAAATCTAGCCTTAATCTAACCCTGCAAATAGCTCTGGAGCACTGAGGGGCCCTGTGGCTGGCAGTATAATGTGCCCCCGAGATGTTAGGTCCTAATCCGCTGAACCTGTGAATACATTAGGTTACATGGCAAAGGAGAATGAAGGGTGCAGATGGAATTAACTCGCTAATCAACCAATCTCAAGGAGGTTATTTTGGGGTATCCTGGTGGGCCCAGCATACTCACAAGTCTTTAAATGAGGAGTAGCGAGGCAGAAAAGTCAGAGATGTGACTATGGACGAATGATCGGACAGATGCTATGTTGTGGCTTTGAAGGTGGAGGAAGGGGGCCATGAGCCAAGGAATGCTGGCGACCTCTTGAAACTAGAAAAGGCAAGAAAACAGATTGTCCCCTATTGCCACCAGAAAGGAACACAGCCCTGCCAATACCTTGATTTTAGCCCAGTGAGACCCGTGTTGGACTTCTTACCTCTACACCTGTAAGATAGTAAATTTATGTTGTTTTAAGTCACTATGTTGTGAGTTCTACAGCAGCAATAGAAAACTAATGCTGCTGCCACTGAGTTGTCCCCGCTTGTGGCAAGAGCTGGCTTTTTTTTTTTTTTTTTTTAATTAATGTTATGATAGATTACAACCTTGTGAGATTTCAGTTGTACATTTTTGTTAGTCATGTTGTGGGTACACCACTTCCCCCTCTGTGCCCTCCCCCCACCCCCCCTTTTCCCTGGTAACCACCGATCAGATCTCCTTATCAATATACTAACTTCCACCTATGAGTGGAGTCATATAGAGTTCGTCTTTCTCTGACTGGCTTATTTCGCTTAACATAATACCCTCGAGGTCCATCCACGTTGTTGTGAATGGGCCAATTTTGTCTTTTTTTATGGCTGAGTAGTATTCCATTGTGTATATATACCACATCTTCTTTATCCAATCATCAGTTTCTGGGCATGTAGGCTGGTTCCACGTCTTGGCTATTGTAAATAATGCTGCGATGAACATAGGGGTGCAACGGACTCTTGAGATTTCTGATATCAGGTTCTTAGGATAGATACCCAGTAATGGGATGGCTGGGTCATAGGGTATTTCTATTTTTAACTTTTTGAGAAATCTCCATACTGTTTTCCATAGTGGCTGTACCAGTTTGCATTCCCACCAACAGTGTATGAGGGTTCCTTTTTCTCCACATCCTCTCCAACATTTGTCACTCTTGGTTTTGGATGTTTTTGCCAATCTAACGGGTGTAAGGTGATATCTTAGTGTAGTTTTGATTTGCATTTCCCTGATGATTAGCGATGATGAACATCTTTTCATGTGTCTATTGGCCATATTCATATCTTCTTTTGAGAAATGTCTGTTCATGTCCTCTGCCCATTTTTTGATCGGGTTGTTTGTTTTTTTGTTGCTAATCAGTGTGAGTTCTTTGTATATTAAGAGCTGGCTTTTTATATCCTCGTATCAGTCTGGCACTGGCTGCAGTCTGCCCTTAGGGGCTAGGGTGGATAACCTCCCAGCCAGGGAGGCACTGTCCTGCTGAGAGCAATTTTCAAAATGGTGCAACTGTCAGCCATCAGCAACTAATATTACTATAGTCGGGTGGTGAGTATACTGGCCCAACAAAAGGGATCTCCGTGGGACACCAACAGTCTCCACCATGTGGGTACATCTAAGCCAACGTTGCATGTGTAAAACAATAGTTAGATTTCCTTGGGGGTGGAAGGGCAGTAAAACAAATGTAGAACTGAAATATTTGGATTTGTAATGTAAAGTCCTTGTATTGTTCCAAAATATATTGGTTAACCTCACACTTTGAGTTCTCCTGCGTGTTAAAATTTTAAGAGCAATCCCTAAATGAATTACTTACTATTAGTTGTGAACAAATACGTTTCAAACGTACAAATAAGCAATCCAATCTGAATGAAGGCAGGAAAGGAAGAAGAAAGAAGCACAGAGAAAGCGTAAATAGGAAGCATAAAATAAGATGGTAAAAATAAATCCCAAAATATCAGTAATCGCACTTCAAAAGGAAAAATGAACAGAATCACAATGTGATTTTATATAAACATCGTTCTATGTAGACTCGAATAGTAGGATTAGAGCCGCAGAACGGGAATGTTTATAGAATGTCACCGTTCAGTGGAGAGGTAATAAAGCCTCTTTTAATTTTCCTGCTAATCTTGCCCCCACCCCCAATCTGAGACAGTGTCAGCACCTAGTTTCTTATATCTCATGTGTTCTTTCTTAGATTACTTATATTTTTGGTTGAACTGTTTTATTGAGTAATTCTTATAGGTGTGGGAGGTAAACTTTCCAAGTTCTTAAATGCTTAAAATATCTTTTGTTCTCGTACAGTTCAAGATTGACAATATTTTTCCCTTAGAATTTTGAAGACATTGCCCCATTATATTCTATTTGATGTTGCATGATGTCGGTCTGATTTTGAACCTTTCTGGGTAAGCTTTGCTTTTGTATTTCTTTTTCTTTGAAAGCCTTATAGATTTTTTCTTTTACCTTGGAATTTTGAAATTTCCTAAGTTTGTCTCTAAATGTGAGTTTTTAAAAACTGAATTAGAGAACTTTAAAAATGTGTG